GTTTTTAGGGTAAGGATTTTAGAAAAAAGTATCGTCTTATAGTCAGAAAAATACGGTAATTCTGTTATTGAAAATAGAGCCCTATTTTCTTTTGTGGGGCACGTGCAAGAGCACAGTTTTATAACACGTATTCTGAACATACTTCCTTTCTGCCATACAAAGTACATGGAGGCCAATCCCCATTACAGAACCTCAACAATGGATTTCATCTGACTAATCATAAGTTAGACACAGGCTTAAATAGTTATTTCTAGTTTATGCCGAAAATAAATTATGGGCTGTGATTAATATTAAACCTAGAGCTCTGAGTTTTCCTCAGTACAACACACCCTTTTATAGAGCAATAAGAAGTTAGCACCAAAGAGACCAGCCTGGTATCTTTGGACAGAGAAGGAAGTCTTCACATGGCATCAGTCAAAGTTATCACGGTACCTCCTATGAAGTTAATAAGCAGTCGCTGCACTCCACCCTGGATTTTTCAGTATTTTGGTCCTACAGGAAATGACTATGTATTGAGATACAGTGATCTAAGGGAAGGATCCAGTCCTTTTCAAAATGACCCAGAACCACTGTTTTTATTATTAAATATCAGTTTGTGCAATTTTAATCCTTAAGATAAGTATCTTTAGATTTGACTACAACTGCCAAAACAGGCTCTGTCAAATAAACAGGCTTCACAATTCTTTTAAGCTAATATTTCCTATTTGTTTTGTATCAGCTGCAGTGAAAATCTAGTGTCTCTGGTTTTAGTCTCCTTCTCTTCTTTTTCTTCTTCCTTTCAGGTAACTGTACTTCCTAATGAGCTACTAGTGATAGAAATCATTTGCATTGACTTCATATGCTTAATCCACATAAATATATTGTGGCATTCTAATACATGCAGTAAATATATAAATAGAACATGGACAGTGTTCACATTCAGTTCTAGTTTATAGTCTTGGGAAAGAGGAATAATATTATCCTGCTGTAGCAGATAGTAAGAAAAATGTACCTTTAGCAGCCTTAGATCTGCTCTCATAAATTCCTTGGGATTAGTGTACATTCTCATTCATCAAAACTTTTTTTTTTAGACTGTCTCCAAGGATATAAGTTTGGTAGCATGGCCTCCTTTCAAGGTGTTTTTTTTTTTTTCTGCCAGAAAGGAAGATGGCAGACTGGTTGGGCCACTGCTCATCTTCCCTATGAGTTAGTTATAAGTGTAATTATGAATCATGTGTCTCAAGTAGAAGTTGCAGGTTCAGCACTGGATCAGAGTAATGCATAACCATTACTTTACATCATCATACTTCCTAAGGCAGAGAGTTGTTGAACTGCAGAGTTGACACTCTTACTATTGAGCTTGATTTCTTTCTGCTCATACATATTTAGTCTTACCCACTTGAAGGCCTGATATAGAGACAGTCTCTGTGCAATTCAAAGAAATGTCAGGTTGTGTATAAAGCAAAAGGCTCCATAATTAAGGGACTGGTCTTGGCAAAGTAGTTACCTAAAAATTACCAGGTAGAAGAGAGGTATTCAAAAGAATAGTAGTTCTGCCATTACAATAGTTCTGATTGCATGAACTGCTCTGTCTGTCTCTCATTAAGGAGTATGAGTCTTGTTTGGGGAATCAGGGTTGTATGGAAGCCTACTTTTTTCTATTTCGTTTTATTTTTTGGCTGCACTGCATTCCAAATTTTTGAAAATAGGAAGTATCTAGCATCAAGAATTTATTTGGTTTGTATTTGCATAGTAACTGTTCACCTCTGTTGGCAGAGAATCAAGGAAGGGAGTGTTATTGACCGAATCCAAATTATCAATGTTGGGGATATGATTGAGTCCATCAATGGTCAAAGTCTCATTGGCTGCCGGCATTATGAGGTTGCAAAAATGCTCAAGGATTTACCCAAAGGTCGCACTTTCACTCTGAAGCTGACTGAACCCCGAAAGGCTTTTGGTACGTATGTGTTAAAGGTGCTGCTATTGTACTAGCTGCTGAGAAGTGAAAATATGCAGCTATATTTCTAATCCTATTTTCATGTGTGATTGCATATTTTTATTATTTAAACTGCTTTTGAGATGCTTTTCTATAGGAAGCTGTATAAAACTGGATTTAATATAATATTAGCTCTAAACTGTCTTCAGGTGAGAAAAATAGACAAGTCATAGAATAACAAATTGGCAGTGCACATATTTTCTCATTGAGATTTTTATTAAAATTACTGTAGCTTTGTCCAGATGAACTATATTGTCAGAAATGTAGTGGTGGCTGGGCTCTTCTTTTCAGAGTTGGTCCTTCGGATCACTGATTGAAGATGAGGAAAATAGGCTCCAGTGATCATAAGGTTTGGTTAATGAGGAAATTGACAAAACCTTTTAAATCAGAAGTATGCAACTTTTTTGTGAGCAAAGATGTTTGATTCCTTGGCTGGTCTTAAAAATCTAAGCAGGATCAACCTAGTTAATGCTTACATGGTAAATCATATGGAAATAGTTGGGTACAAAGCAACTTTGGGAAGTTGAAAAAATAATAAGCAAGTTTGGGAAGTTGAAAAAATATCTTTGCCCTCTTAAACAGCATGTGGGCCACATCCACAAAACTGCTTTGCTGTGTTTCCATTCTCTCCCATTCCAGAGCTGGTAAAAAATCATGCACCCAAATGTTGCTGCCCCTTACCTCATACCCAAAACAGGTCTGTGCTGCATTGGTGTCCATGCAGCTTTAATACCCAAAATTCTAAGCTGTAAATTGGTGGTTCCCGCTGCTGAAATCCCAGCCCTGCCCACATTATCCAGCATTTGAAAAGCCTTTTCCAGTTGGCAATCAAAACACTTGGATTACTCCATGCATTACATTTTTCTCCTTTTTTCCTATCATACCATCAACAGATTGAATTTTTTTCTTTTCAGGCCTTGAAATTAGACTTTTTTTTTTAAAGGCAGACCATGTTCATTCCCCAAAAGAAGTTTGTAGCCTTAGTTGACCAAAATTATTATTATTACTATGGTTTTTCACACAGCCAGATGTTTAGACTGGATTTGGCATTTTTATCCACCTATCAAGTCCTTCCCAAGGACCTGGGATAGGCAGATGTTGTTGTTTGATGGTGTTAAAGGTATTGTCGCAGGATATAAGCTGTTCCAAGTAAAGTTGGCTTTTGCAATTGACTGGTGGTGATTTTGTCAATGTTGTTGTTGTTATGGTTGGTTGCACAGTCAGCCAGATGTTTAGACTGGATTTGGCATTTTTATCCACCTATCAAGTCCTTCCCAAGGACCTGGGATAGGCAGATGTTGTTGTTTGATGGTGTTAAAGGTATTGTCGCAGGATATAAGCTGTTCCAAGTAAAGTTGGCTTTTGCAATTGACTGGTGGTGATTTTGTCAATGTTGTTGTTGTTATGGTTGGTTGCACAGTCAGCCAGATGTTTAGACTGGATTTGGCATTTTTATCCACCTATCTAGTCCTTCTCAAGGATTTGGGATAGGCAGATGTTGTTTGAAGGTGTTAAAGGTATCGTTGCAGGATATAAGCTGTTCCAAGTAAAGCTGCCTTTTGCAACTGACTGACGGTGATTTTGTCAATGCTGATGGTCTTCAAGTGGTGCTCCAGATGTTTTGGGATTGCACCTAAGGCACCTATAACTACTGGTATTATCTGTGTTTTCTTTTGCCACAGTCATTCTACTTCTATTTGCAGGTCTTTATATTTTGTGATTTTCTCCAGTTCTTTCTCCTCTTCTACTGTCTCCAGGTATTGCAATGTCCACTATCCAGACCTTTTT